ACTTGTGTTTGTTGTGTGTGTACTTGTTAGCTTTCACGTGAGGTTTATACCAAACCTACTTTCCTGTCTTGTCAATTAAGTCCTCCTTTGCCTTGAGTCGTAGTGCTTGTCCATATTTTATAATACGTGGCTTCACCCTCCGTGCTATTTCCTGCAGAAAGATTACACAAATGGTCAACAGGGGTTTTGATTAAGAGATAACCTTGAAAGAACAACTTAAGGCCAATGACAGTGCCACTGTTTGCATAGAACTAACATACAGCATATGGTGTTGGTTTGTAGGTAAGAGGCCCTTCTAGCTGCCATAGGTCTCCACTTTTACGTTCCTCATCACCGTCCATATGATCCATAATAGCCATTAACTGAAGACCTTCATTTGGTCCAAGCACTGGAAGAGCCTTGATTCCAGATTTATATCCTAGACAATAACAAAACAAAACATCTTAATTAACTTTTTTTATAATTTAATATTGCATTTGGTCAGATGTCAAGCTTTTCCGATAAATTGGTGATATTTCCTTCCAGTCTTATTTGATTCAGTAAAGTTAAAAGGTTGCAATGATTAATTTTCCTTGGTTTAAGTTTCTTTTATCAGAGGGTGGTTAAAACAGATACAGTTAATTTGACTGACGTTTTTCCATTGACTCACTAAACATGACTGAAATCAATATTCAAAAACTGAATAATTATTATACTTATACATGTACCTTCTATTTTTCTTGCCCCTTCAATGGTTTCTCCCGGGTACAGAGGAAATGGCTCCTGAGTAGCAGAAACCTGTTTTAGTCTTTTAAAAAAGAACTGAAGGGTACTTCAGAATCATTGTCTTTTTGTTTGTACGTTCAACTGAGCACAATCACGTGTAGGCCAGTCCACAATGTCTGTCATGAAGCTGTAATATTTAGCTATTCACCTTAAAAAACCTCATTTCTCTGTGGCCATGATTCAGGTGACACTGCTTTCCTGGTTCACAAGGTTGTCTAAAACAAGGTGGAGCAATGACAAGTTAACAAAATGAAGTCATAGCAAGAATATAGATTAAAGGCAATCACAGCCTGGAAAAATAATATCAAGAATTAATTATACCATCCTTTTCCAGATGACAGAACTGAAGTCATTGCACTTACTTGACAGGGTTCTCTATGACACAGTAGTGGCCAGGTGGAATGACGACAAATGGCAGAGGACCTTCCACTAACTTATGATTGTCTTGAAGAATTAAACTCTTAGGTCCAACCTCTAATACAGTCACATTGGTGTTCTAAGAGGAGTAAAGTACATGTATGAACTACATACTGTAGATGGTAAATTTCCAGATCTTAGTTAAAAATCTGTTACTTAGAATGATTGGCATTTAATTTCTTAGAAATCATGATCTAAATAAATTTCCCCTTTCAATTTGTTTACCTAGGTTGCAAAGATATAGAGTGGCAGATCTAGGGCAGGACCTGGAGGACCTGCCCTGCCCCTCTTATTTTGGGTAAAAAAA